AACCCTCTCCAGTATCCTTGCCTGGAAAGTCCCATGGACAGAGGAGCCTGGGGCACTGGGTCCATGTGGTCCCAAAGAGTCAGACACGACTGAAGTGACTGAGCATCTTCCTCACAGAGCAGCCCAAACTGAGAAAACTAATACATTTTACTTGTCCACACTGGTCGCCACCAATGTGACCACTGTCCAAGCACAAGTGTTCCCTTGGAGTCCAGGTGGGCACAGCATCTTTGCCAGGGTCCAGCCTCTGGGGTCCCTCCTTCTGGGGCACAGGCTGTAGATTCCCACCATGTGGCACTGTCCAGGCCCCTTCCCCATCCTCCAGATTCTGGGGACTCTAACTACCCGCTACCCCCACCCAGCTCCGCAGACAGACTCCTTTCTGCCCTCAGGACACTCCCATGTCCTCAGTGACTTCAGTCTTTCATCAAAGTCAGGAGGAGAGACCTTTAACAACTTTTGCTTTTGGTAAATGCCCCCCAAGGCAAGGAAAGAGAACGCAAGCCTCTCTTCTTGGAATGAGAGGAGGGAAAAGACAGGAACAGTATATAAATAGCTCTCGTTCTTTATTTTTCCACAACAACACAAAATAAAACTCAAATGAATATCTTTTGTACATTGTGCTATGATTGAAGTACTCAGCAAAACACCAAAGTCTCTCCACCATCTCCTCTCTAATTCCTCTCCCAAAGCCATGGTTATCAGGATTTTGGTAATTCGTGCTGTCTTCATAGGTAACTATCAGTTATGTGGTTGTAGGCATTCAGTATTTAATTTTAAAACCTATGTAGCAGGGACTTCCCTGCTGGTCCAGTGGCTAAGACTCTGAGCTCCCAATACAGGGGACCTGGGTTTGATCCCTGGTCAGGGAACTAGATCCCACATGCCATAATGAAAAGATCCTGAATGCCGAAACTAAGATCCGGAGCAGCCAAATAAATACTTTTTGAAAAGAAATAAATAAAACCTATGTAGCAGGCACTGGAGGGGCAGTGGAGGTCTATCACAGGCTGCGGGAAGGAGGGAGCAAAGTAAGTTGATAACTGAAATACCTTGGGGTAAGTCTGTGTGTGTGCTAAGTCACTTCAGTCGTGTCTGACTCTTTGTGACCCCATGGACTGTAGCCCGCCTGGCTCCTCTGTCCATGGGATTCTCCAGGTGAGAATACTGGAGTGGGTTGCCATGCTCTCCTGCAAGGGATCATCCCCACCCCGGGATAGAACCTGCGTCTCCTGCATTGGCAGGCCGGGGTAAGTCTAGGCCTGGGGAATTACAGTGCTCTAAGGGCCTATGGACAGAGGAGCCTGGCTGCCTTTCCCTTCTCCAGGGGATCTTCCCAACCCAGGGATTGAACCCAGGTCTCCTGCATTGTGGGCAGATTCTTTACCAGCTGAGCCACAGGGAAGCCCAAGAATATCAGAGTGGGTAGCCTTTCCCTTCTCCAGGGGATCTTCCTGACCCAGGAATCAAACCAGGGTCTTTTGCATTGTAGGTGGGTTCTTTACCAACTGAGGTGTCAGGGAAGCCCAGAGGGGAAGAGAGATACCCACATTAGACCACTTTGGCTTCAGTATAGGGAACTGAGCCGGGTGGGTTGACCCCAGTTAAGTGGTTATTTCAGTAAATCGGATGGTGGCTTGTGTTAGAGTTAGTATAGGAATGGCAGAAAAAGGACAAAGAATAGAAATGTTTAGGAGATAGAATTGCTAGAATTTGATGATTAGGGACTTCCTTGGTGGTCCAGAGGTTAAGAATCTGCCTTGCAACGCAGGGCACAGGTTCAATCCCTGGTCTGGGAACTAAGATCCCCATGCCTTGGAGTAGCTAAGCCCACGCACTCTGGAGCCCATGTGCCCCAGTGAAGAGACTAAGTCCTGCAACTAAGTCCTGACACAGCCCAATAAGTAAATATTAAGAAAATAATTTGGTGATCAGTTGTTGGAGGTGGTGGTAGGAGATGAAGGAGCTCAGAGGAGACTAGGAAGTCATCTAACTTGAGTAATAGGTGGATGGTGGTTCCAGTCCCTCAAAAACGGAACACTGGAGGGGCAGTTTTGAAGCATAAAATGATTAGTTTGATGCTGAGTTTGAGGTGTCTCATTTAAGGTTCTTCAGGCAGAAATGTCCAGGCCCCTCCTGAGGGTCTGGAACTCAAGAGAGGTCTGGGCTGCACTAATGTAATTAACCACCTCAGTGTGGAAACCAAAGTCAAGGGTTTGGCGGGGTCACCCGGGGGGACCATGGAGCACTCTTCACTAAAAGAGAGCCTGGAGTATTCCTGGAAGTCACCACCAGCGTTTCAGGGACTTGTGTTTGGGTTGTATGCTTTAGGAATATATAATTAGAAAGCCAGGTTTTCTTGGTTATGAGTTAGGGGAAGGTACCATGTTTTCAAAGTCAAAAGGATTGTTCTTTTTTTTTAGCTTCATCTTACTTCTTTCTATCCCTCTAATGATCTGCTCTCAGCTGTGTAATCCTGGGCATGTTCCTTAACTGTTCTGTGCCTCAGTTTCCTCATTTTTAAAATGGAGATGATTAAGAGGATAAAAAGAATACACAAAAGTGGTTAGGACACTGGTCCACCATATTTACTCCATCCATGTGAACTCTCATCATCATCCTCATCATTAGATTGACTATGGCGTTGACAATCTAGATTGACAATTGGAGTTACATGACTCCAGAGGGTGGAGTCAGACAGAGCCAGGTTCTAACCTTGTGTGACCTTGATTTCTCTGAGCCTCAAGCTTCTTCCTCTCATTGGGGACGAGCACACCTACCTGGTAGTGAGATAACATCTGCAGGCTCTGGCATGCCAAAGGCAGTTACTAATAGTTAATTTCCTCCATGTCCTTCTTCTGTGGTTGTTCGTTGAGGACCAGGGAAGTCTGGTGATGCTGCACCATATTTTCCCCTCCATCTCAGCACCCTCTGTTGAGCACTATAGGCAAGTACACGTTGGTTCCCACCCCTGCAAGAAGACCTGGGGGCAGTGTGGTGGTTACATCTTCACAAATCCTTCTCTAAAGACTGCTTCTCTCCAAAGTGACTTTCTCCTTCCCCCTTGACCCTCTGGTCAGGGAGAAGCATCTTGGAGTTATCTGGAGAAAGTCGGACTATACGTACCGCCTCCATCGTAGGTAAGATCCCATGTGCATGCTTGCTCATTTGCTTCAGTCGTGTCCAACTCTTTGCGGCCCCATGGACTGTAGCCTGTCAGGCTCCTGAGTCCATGGGTTTCTTCAGTTTGCGGTACCTCCCAACCCTCAGCACAGGCTGCTTCCTCTGCCAGGAAGCTGTCCTCCCGTTTGTTGTGGGTCTTCTGGGTGAACACACATCATCTAAGTCCCCAAAGGAGCACAAGTCACTCTGACCTCCCTGTGGGATTGGAGGTCCCCCTCCCCAGGCCCTCCAGTGGGCCCCTGAAAGAACCTGCATCAGGATAGCACAACACAATGCGTTTGCACTCTTGTATGCTGAGCTTCTTTGAGGCAAAGAGCCTACCGTATTCTTTGTTGACTCCTCCACTCATTGAACAGTGCCTGGCCCCAGGAAGGCCTTCGGTGTTGGTAAAATGAAGAAATGAATGAGCAGATGGACAGACTTGTAGAGCTTGTTGAGATGGGGCTATAAACTTCACTACAGCCCCCAACTTTATGCCCCACACCATTTCCGGGGGCTGGGGGATATAGAAACTTTCTCTCACACTAAATCTTGATCATCACTGGCCTGATAGTCCTTAATTTCTGGCAGCAAGAATGGAACTAGTCCTTAATTTCTGGCGGCAAGAATGGAACTCACTCCTCTCTCAACACCACCTGCTCAGAGATTTTTATTCACAGGGATACAATTCAAAGTGAGCTAGTGCATACTTATTGAGAACCTACTATGTTCAAGGGGCTGCAGTGACACAGTATGAGAAAATAGCCCAAAAGCGCTTTCAAAAAGTGATTGAGCTTTTAAATCCAGCATTGGCATTATCATGTTCATAAACATCTTCATAAATTCAAAATTGTCTCTGGTTCCTCTGACCAAATTCTCTCTGGTTCTTCCTGGAAGTCCTTTAGACTTCAACAGCAGGAACCAGGGAATCATGGGCAACTCCCTAGTAGGAAGTCCCATTCTTGCCAGGATATGTTGGGTTTCTGCCACATGGGAATCCCTGGCCCATAGACTTATGTTTTGCTCTCACAGTACTCTGGGAAAATTAGGTTTGAGTGGGTATTAGAATCACCCTGAAGGAGGGACTTCCCTGGCAGTCTAGGGAAGTTTGGTTAAGACTCCATGCTTCCAATGCAGAGGTAGCAAGTTCAATCACTGGTTGAGGAATTAAGATCCATTGACTCCTAGGAATTGTGCTACTCGAGGCTTAACTCTTAGCCAAACCTTATCCCCAAACAGTGCTTCTCCCTATCAGCAGCCTGCTTGCTCCCAGGGTAGGCACAGGGGGATGCTGAGGGGAGCAAGGTAGCACCCAGTGAGAAGACTCAGGCCACAGGAGCGATGGGCATCTCCATGGCAACAGCTGCCGAGGGGACAGGAGGCACCAGCGGCCCCCAGCACTGCCCTTGGAGAGCAATAGGGGAAGGCGAGATTCTGAGTGCAGTGAGAGTTGCTCTGCACCTGGGGTCTTGGAGCAGAATTAGGAGGTGGGAGAGGCTCGGGCCAGGAGAGCCCTCTGCAGCTGACCGGTTTGGAAAAGCAGGGCTTGAGGGTGGCTGGAGCAGCTTTGCCACAGGCTCTTCACTTCGGTGCGCATTTTGGACAGCCCTCACTCCTGTCTGCCCCCACCTCCATGCATCCTTGGTCCTGGTGCCCCTGAAATGACAACTGGGGGCTCCTAGCTTGCTATGAGACCGTCTGATAGGAAGCCCCCTCTACTGTGGCACCAGGAGGCCTGCCAGGCCCCCGTGAGAACAGTGAGGAAGCGCCCGGCGCGCCCAGCTGCGCCTTCTGCTCCCAGAGCCTCCTAACCCGTCTCTGTCCTTCTCCCCGCAGTCCCACCCCCTATACCTGTGCAACGCCAGCGACGACGACAATCTGGAGCCTGGCTTCATCAGCATCGTCAAGCTGGAGAGTCCCCGACGGGCCCCCCGCCCCTGCCTGTCGCTGGCCAGCAAGGTAGCGTCACCCTTGGCCCCCACACACTCGGAACTTCCCCCAGCTCTGGGGTGTGAGCGGTCCTGTGCTCATCGTCTGCTCATTTCTCGAGAGTGATGTGCTCAGTTGAGGTTTTTATAGCCCATGATGAGTCTGAGAGACGTGGAAATGCAGGCCCCCGTCCTTCCCCACCAACCATGGGCCAGCAGAACCTCCTTGTGGCCCCGAGGGCTTGGACCCCCTCCTTCCTGCTCCCTATCACGTGGACGTTCCGACACCCCACCCAGAGCCCAGCATCAGCACAAAGAAGGGGTCAGCCGGAGGGCTTTTCCATCTTTCAGGTGGATTCACTGAGCAACGTGCAGAAGGAGCAGAAACAGAGCCAGTGCCCCTTAAAATACTGTTCCTCTGAGATTGCGGAGTGGAGGCCCGCGCTTCCACAGGGCACCCCTGGCTGGAGCTGGCAGCCGCTGCCACCTGTCCCCTGGCACAGGCTCTCTGGCTGGCACGCTGCCCACCGGCCTGCCACCTCACGGACCCGCACACATCTGCATTCACGACCCCTGCTTTCACATCAGTTACTGCTTTCTTTGTGCTGATATGAGGGTGGGACCCAGCACAGACACTTCTTGCATATTAATTCTCATTTACGTTCCACAACGATCAGGAAAACTAGACACTGTCATTCTCTATTTGACGTAGAAGACAAGTCAAGCAGATTTCAGGGCGGGGTTCCTGCTCATGGGGTGGGGGTGAGAGAGGGGGCTGACAGCCCCACCCCGTGGGCCTGCTCCTTGTGCTCAGGCCCAGGCCCTCCAGGGGGGTTCGTGGTCCTCCTGAGGGCTGTTTCCTGGGCTAGGAGTCTCAAGGGAAGAGCCTGGGTTCTTCTCTGATTCCCCAGGGGAATCAGTGGGCAGAGTGTGGTGCCCACGGACGGGTGAGGATATTCTCTGGTTATGGTGATGCCGAAGGGGCTCCCAGGGAGGGGGAGATGGGGGCCAGGGCCCACCGGAGCCGCTGGAGACTGTGGTGTGTCTGCAGGATGGTGCGGGGCCTTGCCGGCAGCAGCGTTTTGTTAGGCTGAAGCTGCCCTGCTTCTGGCTATTTCATTCCCATCGCTTGACAAAGCATGGGCAAATGTCACTCACTATTCATTTGGTAAATGACTGCATGCTGTCAGGAAGGCAGTGTGAGGAGAGAGAAGTAGGGAGACAGACGGATGGGGAGGACGGGTTCTGAGAAGCCCTGCTGTCCCTCTGAAGCAGAGAGTGACTTCACACACACGTGGATACTCAGCAACCCATCAGGATGTGCCCACGTAGGACAGAAGGCTTCCTGTCGCCCCTAGAGGACCAGGTTTCTGTAGGAGACGTGAGCCATGTGCAGAGACGCTGGGTCACGAGGAACATCGGTTAGTGCTCTCTGAGGTACTTAATTAACCTGGTTGGGCCTTTGTTTTCACTCCCATAAAATGGGACTTCGATTTCCTACCCCGGTGACCAAGGTGAGGTTGGAAATAGTGTCTGCCAAATGCCAAGTAGTGCCTGAGCTAAATCAAATGCCAAACCAACAGCTCAGGAGAAGCACCTTGATTTCCCAAAAGTTTAGACATCCCACTGGCTTAACTAAACTCTTCAGTGTTTTTCTGTTTTTTGCTTTTGGTTGGAATTCTATCAGTTCCATGTGTTAATACAAGTTTTCTCATAGGAAAATGAATTGTGCCTAAGAAATGCAGTTAGCTTGGTTAAGCATATTTAAAAATAGGGTCATGGGAGGAATAGGGGAAAGGTGGCTCTTTGGTGAGGAAACTTGAAAACCACTGACCTCCGTCAGCTCTGCGTTGGCGTATCAGTTAGTGTCGGGGTGTTATCAGGGTCCCCAGAACTGGGGCTCTGGAGCCAGGCAGCCCTGCGTCTGGAGCCCAGTGTCTCCGCTGCCCTCAGTGTGACTTGAGCATTTCAGCTCTTGGAGCCTCCGCTTCCCCATCTGTAAAAGGGGAACAATGATGGGGCTGACGTCATGTAGTAGTTAGGAGGGGTGGAAGAGACGGTGCGGATGGAAGCTCTTGGCCTGTGCCTAGCACACAGCGATCACTCAACAAATGATTGCAGCGGTCACCGTGGCCCTGGTCATTGGCATCTTTATCCTGTACTTTCACAGGCAACAAGGTTGGTCTTTCTCCATCTCTGAAACCCTCACTGTAGTTCTTCTGGACTCTTTCCATCTTGTCAGGACCACCACCTTCCTCCTCCTGCCCAGTCACCCAGATTGGTTTCTTTTTTATTAATATTTAATATTTTTTTGGCCATGCCTCACGGCATGTGAGATCTTAGTTTCCCAGCCAGGGATGGATTCGGAGCCCCCTGCCCTGGAAGGGTGGTGTCTTGACTACTGGACCACCAGGGAAGTCCCCGTCCCTGTTTCTCTATTAGAGGCTCCTCAGCCATCCCTGTGATTCCCCAGGCCCTTCCCACCCTGTGCCTGGACTGGAAAGTGGTCTTTTGCCTGGTGGGAAGAGCTGGCTCTGGAGGCAAAAAGATGGATATAAGCCCTGCTTCTCTTACCATAGAGACCACCTCCTGGTAACCAGGCAACTCAGAAGGCTGAAATCCTGGGTGGGAATTCTGCTTCCACTGCTTATCAGCTGTGTGACCCTGGACAAGTTGTTCAGTCTCTCTGAGCCTCAGTTTCCTCAATTCAGAAGTGGGGCTGATGACTGTCTTATAGATTTGTTGTGAGGAGCAAGTGAAATCAGGCACGCAAAGCACATGATAATAGCTAATACGATAATAACTAACACTTACGGAACACTTACTCTGTGCCAGGCACTTATTATAAGGCTTAACATGGATTAAATTATATAGCCCTCAAAACAACCCTATGAAGTAGGTTCAGTTATTACCCCTAGTTTATAGAAAGGAAAACTGTGGCACAGAGCAGTTAAAGGACTTGCCCAAAGTTTCACAGCTAATAATTAATAGCAGATTCAGTCTGGGCAGAGTGGGTCTCAATAAAGGTGTTATCCCTTCTCCTTCCTCCTACCCTCACTTTCAAGGCGAGATGAAGCCCACCTCTTCTACCGAATCTGTCCTGGCTGACTCAGCCCAGCTAGACCACTGAGAGCAGAAGCCCTTACCTTCAGCCTGCTGCCAGAGTCTCTGGCCATGCTTTACACACCAGGCTTCATGGAAGGGCCTTGTCAGGGGCGGGGTGGGGGCAGGGAAGCCAAGGGTCCTTCTTACCCCCAGTCCCACCCTCAACCTCAACTCACCTCTATCTCTTTTGTGTTGAAGATTTGTCAGTGTGTGTGTGTGTGTGTGTGTGGCGGGGAGGGGGGCGGGGGGAGATGGAGGAAAGGGCTTTCTGCAGCGAAAAAAGGTTTGGAAATGACTGGTCTGTTTCATTTATTTGTATTCTAGAATGTTGTTATCAGCATTATAATTTTACATATATGCCTTGTCTCCGCAACTAGATTATGAGTTGTTCTGGAGGGCTTGGCTGGGCACAAGGGGTGCTCAGTCAGTCAGTGATGAGGGGGAGATCCACAGTGATGTGTCCGGAGAGGGAGATCTAAGGCACGGGGCAGTACAGAGCATAGACGTGCCCGAGTCCTGGGACGCACTGGCCTCCCTGCTCTAGGCTGTGGGCAGCCTGCTTGCTGCTCTTAGAAGGCCGGCTGCCTCTGCAGCTCCAAGAGGCCTCTGGGATGTCTTTCTAAAGCTTATCTTTCTGTCTTGAGGGCCTGCCCATCCCCTCTCTTTCAGGCTCTGGTCTCTGAAGAAGTTCTTCTCTTCCTCCCTCCCTCTTGCTCGGGTGCAAGAGCGCAGCCATCTGGCCCTAAACCTTGCGTTTTGATTCCTAGAACTCTGGACACAGGCACCCACTGCCTGAAAGTCCTGTTTGTTTCCCCTGTTGGCCAACCCTCTCTCTTTGATCACTTTTACAACTTTGTAATTATGGGCTGTATTCAGCTGGGGTGTTTGAACGTCAGGGTAATTACTTTCCACTGTTCCTACCCCAACCCTTCAAAGCGAGAGAGGTGGAGAAGGCAGAACATCTCCAGAGGAGGAAGTCTGTGCCCTTCCCTCCTGCTCTTCCCGGCTGGGCTGGGTTCAAGGTCTCACCCTAGGGATGGGAAACAGAAGGCCTTGTTAGCACTGAGGATCCAGGAGTCTCAGTTCTGTGCCTACTGGGGTGACCCCCAACCCCACCTCTGGCCAGTTTATGGACTAGGGGATTATCAGGAGTCCTTCTATTCTCCTGGGGTAGCTCCCATGTTCTGGTTTGGAGGCCTCTGAAGATTGGACAACTTTTTTTTTTGGTTGGCCACCTTCACAGCTTGTGGGATCTTAGTCCCCTGAGCAGGGATGGAATCCACGCCCATTGCATTAAAAGAGCAGAGTCTTAACCACTGCGCCACAAGGGAAGTCCCTGGACCACTTTTATTTTTCCCTGGGGTCACCTAGATGGCCTAGGGGACCTCCTAGGGGAGACTTCCAGCGCATAACAGGCTCGAGGAGGATGAAAGCTGTGAGCTCTCCGCCTCTTCAGCAGTTCGCACAGGTACATCCTGGCGAGCCTGCGCCTGGGCGCTGGTGGAGGGCCCGGCCCAGCTCCGCAGGGAAGGAGGAAGCGAAGGGGGAAGTTGCCCTCCTGACCGAAAAAGCCCCGCTTGAGTGTCTCCACCAGTCTCCCGGGGCGCCCCTGCCTGTTCAGAGGGGCCCCTGCGGCTGCCCGGGGAGTGGGGAGCCGGGAGCCGGGAGCAACAGCCGCTCCCCCGGCCGGCCCGGCGGGAGACCTGCCCGGAGACCTGCCCCGACAGGCTCTCCCGGGAAGGGAAGCCGAGATCAAAGCGCTGGGGGTGTGAGCGTGTGAGTAAGCCCGGCGCGGGCTCCTCTTCCTGCCTCCACCGCGTGCGGAGCGGTTAACTCCTTCAGCGCCTGCAGGAAGGCCCCGGGCCCCAGCCCCCCGAGGCTGGCCCCAGGCCGGCGGGCGGCCTGGAGGACTTCTGCGCCCGAGGGAGGCCGCGAAGCACTCCGTCTGCCGGCCCTCTGCCCGCGCGCCCCCACCGCACCCTCAGCTCTCAGCTCCCGCGTCTTCCCGCACCCCCAGAGCCCCTCGACTCCCGCCTCTGGTTCTCTCTCTGGCTCTGCCGTCTGCTTCGCCCACTTGGCTCGACTCTGGGAGCTTGGGGAGCTCGCGTGTGTCGTCCTTGTGGGAACACCCCCTTGGGTGCCTCCCCGGCCCAGGCTCTGTCGCCCCCCTCAGGGAGGGGTGAAGGGCAGAAGGCCAGGGCCTCCAGTAAGGTCCCGAACTGGAGCCGAGGAGGAGTTGGCCAACTGGACCTCGGCGGGGAGACAGATGGGCTGAGCCCAGGGTTGTCCTTGACGCCCCCTGGGGAGAGCACGCCCCGGGCTCCTGGATCGGCCTGCGGAGGCGAGGGGATGCCCCGCCCCCTCCTCTTGTGCACCGCTGGACCCTGGAAAGCCCAGTTCTGTTCTGAAGCAGCTCTCCATCCTTCTGAACAGGCAACCAGCATCCCCCAATGCCCGGGGTTGGGGGACCGCGGTCACTCCCTGCTCTCGGTTCTCACCCTTCTTAGCGAAGGCAGACTAGAGATACCTCCATGGCAGGGCCATCTTACTTGTCCCCTGTCCTGGAGCCTAGTCCACCCCCTGGCACCTACTGAACCCTGTTAAGGGTTTGCTCTGTTACAAAAGGAAGGACTGAATGTGGTCCTTGAAGGCAGTGGCCCTGGGCTCAGGGCAGGGCAGGAGGACCCTAACCCTACTGACCCCTTGCGTGTGATAGAGGTGTGAGTGTGCAGAGGTGTGGGGTGTGCCTTAGGCAGGGGTGCATGTGTGAGGGGGTGAGCCCGGGGTGTGGCCGGGCTGTGTCTGACCCCCCTGCCAGACCTCTGCTGTGTATCTCTGCAGGCCCGGATGGCGGGGGAGCGGGGAGCCAGCGCCGTCCTCTTTGACATCACGGAGGATCGAGCTGCTGCAGAGCAGGTACCCTGGATGGGGGGTGCCTGAGGAGTGGGCTGGAGGGAGGGAGAGAGGGGGCTGGAGGCAGGGAGGGAGGGGGCTGGAGGCAGGGAGGGGAGAGAGCTGCTGCGGGAGCAGAAGTCAGGACACAGCCGCCCTCGTGGGCACTTCATCTCCTGCAGCTGCAGCAGCCCCTGGGGCTGACGTGGCCCGTGGTGTTGATCTGGGGTCACGATGCCGAAAAGCTGATGGAGTTTGTGTACAAGAACCGAAAGGCCCACGTGAGGATTGAGCTGAAGGAGCCCCCGACCTGGGTAAGCGGGCCCAGTCTCCAGCCCCGGCCCCTGCAGCCACCGCCACCTTCCCCTCTGTGACTCTCACCGAAAGCCCTCAGACTCCTGGAGCTCAACAGACCTTAAAGCCCCCCAGGCCAACTCTATCCCCAGCTGTGCTCCTCTGGGCAAGTTTCTTCCCCAGTCTGGGCCACATCTGCAGGATGAACAGATTGGGCCAGCTGAGTTCTGAAGTGGTTTTTCAGCATCTTGGTTTCATGGAACACAGTAGCAGAGCCAGAATGAAACCCTGGGCCCTGGGCCCCTTGATGCCTGGCTGGTATTTCTCCACCCACTGGGAAGCTCCCACCTTGCAGAGGGGTCGCTGTCCCCTTTTCCCTCAGCACACAGACCTTGAGATCGAACCTCTCACAACTGGCGTCTGGAGGACCCTCCCCAGTGAGTGTCTGTGGGCAGAAAGGGACCACCTAACCCCACCTGCAACCTCACCACCCCCTCTTGGAGACTCAGGGGCCCCCCCTGTTCTCCATGCGTCTCCTGTGTTTCTCCCGAGTTGGCCCCGCTCCTTCCACAGGTATGACCCTTTCTCTCTCTGCTCCCTCCCCCAGCCAGATTATGATGTATGGATCCTCCTGACGGTGGTGGGCACCATCTTTGTGGTCATCTTGGCCTCGGTGCTGCGTATCCGGTGCCGCCCCCGCCACACCAGGCCGGTGAGCAGGGTGGGCTTCCTGGTGGAGGTGGGCGAGCACGTGTGTGGGGGAGGGTGGGGAGCAGGAAGGGAAAAGTAAGCAAAGAAGGTGCCCTTATGCCTATGAAACAGTCACACCAACACCCCTTCCGTCCCCTCCCCCACTCCCTGCTTGCAAATGACTTCGTTAATCTCCAGCAGCCTCTCTGCATAGGTGTCCTCATTTGTTCATTCATTCAACAAAACATTCAACAAATAGAGAGCTCCTGTTATGTGTCAGGCACATTCCAGGTGTTGGGGCTGGTGCAGTGAGCAAAAAGACAAAAGCTCTCTCCCCTCCGGGAGCTTTCATTCTAGTGGAAACAGACAACAAAGTAAGTAAAATATAGAATACCTTCAATGGTGGTTAAGTCCAGGGAGAAAAATAAAAAAGGGGAAGGAATGCAAAGGGAACAGGGTTAATTTTTAAAAGTAAGGTCAAGGAAGGCCTCATTCAGAGGGTGACATTACAGGAAAGACCCTCAGTGGGTGAGGGGGTGATGTGTGCAGATGGCTGGAGAGAAAGTGATTGAGGTGAGAAAACAGGACACTGCAAGCCCTTGAGGCAGAAGTGTGCCTGGTGTGTCAGGATCAGCACAAAGGCATGCGGTGGAATCCAGTGAGTAAGAGGGCAGAGCAGGCAGTGAGGACAGAGTTCATGGGGGCCCAGTGGTATTGGACTTTCTAGGCTGTTGTCAGGACTTTTTTTTTTTCCCCTACTCTGGATGAAATGGGAACCATGGGATGGTTTTGAGCAGAACTAGAGCCATGATCTGACTTAACTTTTAACACGATCACTCATGCCTCTGTGGTGAGACCAGATTACAGNGGCAAGAGTACTGGAGTGGGTTGCCATTGCCTTCTCCACTTCCCTTCTATAGATTTCCATAAAATGGGTCCACCATACCCACAGTTACTCCCCTGGTGTTCAAAAACACAAGATCCCAAGTGCCCATCAGATGGTAGCCTTCCAATCAATCCAGATCCCCGTTAGCATTCCTTAATAAGTGATCAAAACCATCACAGCCTTACCACCAGCTATTACCCATGCCCAAAGCATCCTTACTCCATGGTATGAATGGATCTTCCTTCATAGGGGTTTTCTTTCACTCTAACAGTAAAGTTCTAAATGGGCAAAATATTATTAGGAGAAAAGGTTAACTCCTGGAACCATCACTTCTATAGAACCTCAGGGCCAACAGGTCTTCTAATGAATTGATCATGGAGGGTGAGAGAATAGTTAAGAATGACCCCGATGTTTTTGGCCTGAGGGGTTAAAAGAACAGAATTGCCATTTACTGAAGGGAGGATGACTGGGGAAGGACAAGTGTGTGGTTGAGGTGATTCATGGGATTAGGAATGTGGAGCTTGTGAAGTTGGATGTGCCTGTTAGATATTCAGGATACGATGTCAAGGTGGGGCAGTTGGGAGAAAAGTTCCTCTCCTGGGTCATCAAGGGAAGGAAAGTTAATAGTATGCATGGGGAATGGGATAGGGATGTTTAGCAGGGCCATGGAAGGACTCAGAGGGTATAAACTCCCCGGGTGGTCCAGTGGTCATGTGATCTAACTGTGTGACTGGGACCTGAGCACAGGGCAGGGTCCAGGGGTGTGGGGAGAGGAGCCCTGGCCCCATTCTGGCCCACTGTTCTCCCCAGGACCCCCTTCAGCAGCGAACAGCCTGGGCCATCAGCAAGCTGGCCACCAGGAGGTACCGGGCCGGCTGCCGGGGCGCCAGGGATGAGTGGCCAGACTCCGGGAGCAGCTGCAGCTCCGCCCCGGTGTGCGCCATCTGCCTGGAGGAGTTCTCTGAGGGCCAGGTGAGGCCAGGCTGTGGTTTGCCCCTGTGCCCAGGCTGGAGAGGGAGGCGGGTGAAGCTGGTGTGGGCGTGCGGTCTGCATCTGTGTCCTGTGTATCCTGCGTGGACAGCCCTGAGGTTTGGTCATTTTCCTGGTTTTCCAGGGAAAGAGAACTTCTGTTTGTTGAGTGTGTACCACATGCCAAGCTCTGCACTGGGTGCTCTAGAGGCATCATCTGTCACCCTCATGACAGTGAAGGGTGGGGGTGGATTAGTTTTTTAGCCTCATTTTACACCAGAAAACTGTTCAGAAACTTGCCCAAGGTCATATGCAGTGGCAAAAGTCTAGATTCTCTTGATACCAAAGCCCATACTTGTTCTGTTGTGCTAAGAGGTCTTTGAAAGCAGGTGTTGGCAATAAAGGAGATGCCAAGAACTTCTCTGGTGGTCCAGTGGTTAAGAAGCTGCCTGCCAATGCAGGGGACATGGGTTCAGTCCCTAGTCTGGGAAGATTCCACATGCCACAGGTTCAACTAAGCCCACTCCACAGCTTCTAAAGCTTGTGTGCCCTAAGGGCCCATGCTCTGCAACAAGAGAAGCCGCTGCAAGAAGCCCATGCACCACAAGGGAGTAGCCCCTGCTCACCACAACCAGAGAAAGCCTGAAAGCAGCAACAAAGACCTAGTGTAGCCAAAAATAAACAAAGTTTTAAAAAGGGGAGGGCAAGGGAGTCAGGGATGCCCTGCTTCCTAGCCAAGGCTGTAGCTGCCGTCAACTTGGGCTCTGACCCTTTGTTTTCTCCAGGAGCTCCGGGTCATTTCCTGCCTCCATGAGTTCCATCGTACCTGTGTGGACCCCTGGCTGCATCAGCATCGCACTTGCCCCCTCTGCATGTTCAACATCGTAGGTAGGAGGTGGGCCAAGGGCTCCCCTGCGTGCAGGCAGATGGGTAGAGAAGGGGCTGCCTTCTGGGCAAATGGTTTGCCTTGAAGTGGAGCAGAAGGCGGGACTGCCTCAGTCATTCTCTAAGCTGTGTCCCTGGGACTTCCGTTGTGGTCCAGTAGTTAAAAATCTACCTTGTAATGCAGGGGATGTGGGTTTGATCCCTGGTCAGGGAATTAAGATCTCACACGCTTCAGGGCAACTAAGAAACATAAACCCAAACACTGAAATGAAGACCCAGTGCAGCCAAAACAACAACAGCAGTTAATAAAATTTTACAAAATAGAAGTTGTGCGCTGGTTGAGGGTACCTCCCCTGAGCTGGGCAGACAGCTTTACTGTGTATTTTCATGACAGCTTTGTTGATTCTAAATCTGGCCGATGGGTATATTTATTACTCCACTTTTCTGGCAATAAAGTATCCTATTCTAACAAAACCAGGATATTATGACCATCTTCTAAAAGATAAGAGGGAAGTATCTGGCGGAAAGAGAGCCTTTTTCTAATTCACCCAAAGGTGCAGTGTGGGCTTGCGGTGGCCCCCGGCAAAAGTCCCCAAAGGACAGTTGATGGGAGGAGCCGTGCTCAGCGGAACCCACCAGGGGACAGCTGATGGGAAGGGGCAAGGGCGCCCTGGGCCGCAGGCAGGGAAGGAGCATCCTTGGTGCTCCCGACTCTGACGGAGCTTGTGCAATAGAGAAGACGTGCAATAGAGCCCCACTTTCCTGAATGTACCCTCCTTCGGCCGGTGGAGTCAAACACCTACGCTCTTGGTTCTTTCTTCCAGAGGGAGATTCGCTTTCGCAGTCCCTGGGACCCTCTCGAGCTTACCAGGAACCGGGCCGGAGGCTCCACCTCATTCGCCAGCACCCCGGCCACGCGCACTACCACTTGCCCGCCGCCTACTTGTTGGGCCCTTCCCGGAGCGCGGCGGCTCGGCCCAGCCGGCCCGGCCCCTTCCTCCCATCGCAGGAGCCAGGCGTGGGCGCCCGGCACCACCGCCAACCCAGAACCGCACACCCCCGGGCTCCGGGCGAGCCGCAGCGCCTGGCGGCGGCCCCGCACCCCTACGCGCCGGGCTGGGGGCTGAGCCAGCTCCGCTGCGCCTCCCAGCACCCGGCCACCTGCCCCGCGCCCCCTCGCCGGACCAGGCCCCACGACAGCAGCGGGTCCGGAGAGAGCTACCGCACGGAACGCAGCGGCTACCTGGCGGACGGGCCAGCCAGCGACTCCAGTTCGGGGCCCTGTCACGGCTCTTCGAGCGACTCGGTGGTCAACTGCACAGACGTCAGCCTGCAGGGCCTCCACGGCAGCAGCTCCACCTTCCGCAGCTCCCTGAGCAGCGACTTCGAGCCCCTGGTCTACTGCAGCCCCGACGGGGAGCCCGCGGGGAGGGCGGCTCCGCCTCGCCTGGCCTCCCGGCCCCGTTCTCTGGACTCGGTGGTGCCCGCGGCGGAAACGCAGGTTTCCAGCCACGTCCACTTCCACCGCCACCGGCACCACCACTACAGAAGGCGTTTCCAGTGGCATGGCAGGAAGGCTGACCCCGAAACTGGAGTCCCCCCGTCCAGGCCTGCCGCTCCTCGGACACAGCCCCCGCCAGAGCCGCCTTCGCCCGATCTGCACGCGGCCAGGTGCAGCCCAGCAGCGCTTTCAGGGCAGCCTCCCGCCCTGCAGCGGCCCCGGGCCCTCACCGAGCCAGCCCCCGGGCCACCCACCGCCTCCAGCCCCAGCCCTGCAGCCAACAACCTCTTCCACTTGCAGAAATCCAGCCTCTCTGTCCGACACCCCCAGAGGAGACGGCGAGGGGGACCCCCGGAGCCCACCCCAGCCTCTCGATCCCAGGACTTGCCTACCCACCCAACTTGCCAGATTTTCCCCCATTATGGCCCAAGTCTGGCACACCCTTGGTCCCCAGAGGCCCACCCACTGATCTTCGGACATCCAGGCCTGGAGAGGAGGCTGCTACCAGAAGCCCCGGGCCCTACATACCCGAGTTCCCAGCCAGTGTGGCTGTGTCTGACTCCACGCCAGCCCCTCGGACCGCACCCATCTGGGGAGGGGCCTTCCGCATGGAGTTCTGGCACCCCGGAGGGCAGGCCATGCCCTTACCCACACTGCCAGGTGCTACCAGCCCAGCCTGGTGAGTTCTCAGGGGAAGTGGGGCTGCTGGGGAGAGGGGGCTAGAGCTGGATATGGCAGAACGGGTGGCGTCATCCAGGGGGCTGATGGAAGCTGAGAAGGGCCCCACGGGGTGACATTTCAAATACTGGACAACTGGCATAGGGTGGGATGCTGGCTTGAGTGGTCTGGCTCTGCCAAGTGTTAATCCTTCCGTTGCCAGATTGTAGGGAGGTCTAGGTGAGGTCAGAGTGTGGTCGAGACACCAGAAAGCACTTGGGGTGGTTTGCGGCAGCAACACAAACCCAAGTGTTTCTTTTTGCTCGTTGGTTTTAATAATTTATCTGTTTTGGCTGCACTGGGACTCCATTGCTGCACGTGGGCTTTCTCGACTTGTTGCTAGCAGGGGCTGCTCTTCAGTGCCCTGCGGGCTGCTCTGGTTGTGGAGCCCTGGCTTAGCTGCCCTGTGGCATGTGGGATCTTCCCAGACCAGGGATCGAACCCGTGTTCTAAACCACTAGTCCACCAGAGTAGTCTAAACACAAGTGTTTCAATATTTTAAAAATTGGTACAGCTATACCAGTGCATACAGCTCCGTGTTAGTTGTAAATACAAAGGAAGCCAAGAAGAGTATGGACAAATAGTTACTGAAAAACATAATTCCAGGCCATATGAGATCTTATAGGAGATATAACTAGAGATAACCATATTTCTGAGCTTCCCTGGTGGCTCAGATGGTAAAGAATCTGCCTGCATTGTGGGAGACCTGGATATGATCCCTGGGTTGGGAAGATCCCCTGAAGAAGGGAAGGGCAATTCCAGTGTTCTTGCCTGGAGAATTCCATAGACAGAGGAGCCTGGTGGGCTACAGTCCACGGGGTTGCAAAGAGTCAGACATGACTGAGTGACTAACACACACACACACACACACACACACACACACACATATTTCTGGGCTATATGAGAAGAGTTATGTGAATGATGGTGGGATGGGGGGGAAGTGGAGAGAGATCACAGGGGGTTCCCAGCAGGCCTGTGATTTTTTCCTTTCCCTTGGGTTAAAGGAACTAAAGGAACCAGGGCTTCCCTTCTATTACCTTTGTTGATAAGACCAACATTATTCTCTTGGGGACTCCATGCATCCCTGTTACTGTATTGCAGCCAATGGTGAGAATGTAGATCCTCAACTTTAACTTGGTGTTTATTTGCTCAATTCCTCCCCTTCCTCTTCCCGGTCCCCCAACTCCAGTTCTTCTCCATCTTTTCCTGTTGTGTGGATGACAGTGCTCTTTGCCACTGCTAGGAGGATGTCTCCACCCCTAAAGGGGCCCCGAAAGTCCTGAACTATGACTTCAGGGTCTAGGAATCCACAGGCAGGACCTGGGAGCTGCTGTCATCCATTCATTCATTTCTTCCTTCCATTTTTCTTTCTGCATTGTATGCATGCTATGTGCTAGGTCCCAGACTCTCAGGACATGGAACTTGTCAACCAGGAGACCCAGGTCTGTGGAGAGATGGGCATGCAAACTCTTATCATATAGAAAAGAATTGTTCCCATAGGGCCACGTGACGTAGACTCTGACTGTGTGTTTGATGGCTCCATGTGGATCCTGTCACACTTATACTTTCCCTGCTGCCACTGCAAGACCCACCACCTCCTCTCTCACAAACTCATAACTAGTTTCAGTGCCTCTCTGTCCCCTGCCCTTCAAATCCAATCCACCCCAGGGTCTGTTAACCATATCTCTGCCAGCTTTACAATATTCTCTTCCAGTACTGCTGGCCCCTGTCCATGTTCTAGGTACAGCCTAAAGGTCGAGGTGGGAACCTCCTGGGTCCTTCCTTTCCTCTCACAAGGCCCTGGAGACCAGGCATGGAGCATCAGTGTCCCATCCTGTCGAGCCATGCAGTACAGTGACCTTGCTCACGTTCCCTCCCTGCTGTGGCCAGCGTCCTCCTCCTCAAATAAACTGTCCAGAAATCTTCAAGTGTTGTTTTGTTCAGAGTAAAGAAAAGTCCAGCCTGGTTTGACCTTCGAGACTGTAGTACCAGCTAGCCCCCATCTGCCTTCCCAACCTTATTTTCCACTCTTCGCCTTTCCTTCCCCTGCTCCAAGCTTTAGCTAAACTAGGTAAACACTTCTTGCAGCTTCTGCAGTTGAGAATATTCTGCTGCTCAGAATATTCCCATAGATGGAATTCTTCCCTACTCCTGCAGGACCAGCTTGTGAATCTCCACTTTCAGGAAGCCCTTCCTGACGCTCCACTTAAGACATGGTTTCTCTCCTTTAATTCGTCTCTTATGAGCCCAGTCTGGCCCCCCTGGCATAATTGCAGCTTATTAAATGCACACCTCTCCTACAGGGTTGCCAGGACCCTGCTTCGTCTTTTTGTCTTCTCTTTGGCACAAGGTTGCAGGCCAGATCCACTGGTGCTTAATAAATATTTATTGGGTGAATGAATGAATAGTAAGTGTTGGTAACACACTGGTTGCTATATATGTGTCTTACTCTGGATTTGTTTTTCTCTCCCCTGTGTCCCAACGGGAGTCCCTCTCAGCTTTCAATCTGATCACCCTTCTGGACCCATTCCCTGCTCTTGCCTCTCTCTTACAGGTAGAACAAGCAAGAGGCTGGCCTGACCTTGAGTGACCTCTCTCCTCCCCTCTCTAAACGCAGGCACAGAAGAGGAACTGGAGGAGCTGTGTGAACAGGCCGTGTGAGATATTCAGTCCTGGCTCCAACCAAGAGTGCTCGCCGGATGACTTGGGGCCCTCCCTGCCACAGAGTCCTGCTCCTCAGAAAAGAAAGGACTTCAGAAAACACCCCCACCCCCTTTTTTTTGCCATATTCCTGGAACCACTGGCAGAGGGTGGTGATGGTGGGTGGCAGGTGTCCTCTCCTGCTCCCAGCTCCAGCCCTTGTCTGCAGAACTATCTGTGTCCAGCCAGGCAACCAGCTACCACTGGTGTGGGTGGGCTCCTTTGCAGGCTGTGCTTTTCTGAGAGCAGGAAGCTAGGCACAGGTAGACAGGTGTGATAAAGGTGGTGCTCCTTCCCCAGCCTGAGGACTTCTCCTTCATCCCAGGCCTCATGTTCATACCAGCAAATGGGTTCAGCTGAATGAATGAACCCTGCTTACCTCCTTCCTGAAGACAGTCTTGCACACCAGCTTTGGCTTCCCCTCAGTAAGGCTGCTGTATCAATGGCAAACCCGGTTCTTATCATTTTCCTTCTTTGCCAAAAGATGATGGGCTTTGCAGCCTCACCAGGCATGGCCTGCCCTGGTGCACAAGAGGAGTTTTCCCTCCTTGTCCGTACTTGTCAGCTCCTCTGTATTCAGTCCGAGGAGAGGCCAGGGTGTGCAGTCCCTGAGAACCTGGGGTGAAGCCTCTAATCTTCAGGCTCCCTGGTCATTCCAGCAGCCCCAGTCCCTCTGGGGGAGAGTGGTGGGGGTAGTGGGAAGGGACTCATTCTTTCTTGGAGATCACTTAGCTGAAAATCCCAAAGGAAGTGGAAGAAGAGGATTTCTGCTGGACTTTATTTAGGAAGAGGGAGGAAGGGATGAAGGTAGAAAAGGCTGAATTACAGCTGAACAAAGAATTTTTCTCTCGACATTTCCTCTCGGAGCAGGGATAGGGAGCAGGGGAGAACACAGGAGGAGCAGTTTGGGGCCCTTGGATTAGATGGCCCGGAGGCCCAGCTTCCCAGTATAAGCCACGCAGGTCAGATTCACACAGTGTGGAGCGGGGTCAGAGAAGAAAGTCTGGCCTGGGGCAGCTGGTCCCAAGTGGGCAAGAGCTGAGGGGCCTCCTCCGGGCAACGTTCGCCCTAGGGCAGCTGGACCATTGCTGGCCCCCTCAGGCGTTATCCCCTTTGGAATGTGAATGCAGGAACAGAGTGGGCGCAGCACCCCACCTGGGGATCCTCTTCCCTCAGAGTCAGTGGGGAACTAGCACCTAGGCACCCACGTGGGTATTTATATCTGAACAGGCAGAAAGACGCTTGAATCAGGCACTATGATGAGAAATGTATTTATTTGCTAATATATTTATCCATAAACTTGATCTGGTCTCATGGTTTTCTTCTGTCATGACTGTTGCTCAGGGTAACAACTTCGTCTTCTACATGGGGAAAAATACTCTTGACATCAGAGGTTAGGCTCTGATTTATGAAAGGACAGAGTAGTGTGGTGGGCTTGGCAACGAGAACTGGCTGGTAAGCCCCTGAAAGCACTGTTTAGTGAGATCAGGGAAAGAGAAAGTGTGACTGGATTCTCCTTGTGGTTCACTGTGTCATTTGTACTATTACTGTATGTTTACTTCACACTCTATAATGCTTCAAGGACTCTGAGACCCTGCAAAACACTGTTGCCTCACTTTTCCACCCATGAAATGGGCCCACTTCACAGAGTTGTTGGAGAGCTCCCCTGAGACAAACAGGGTGACGTGTGTTTCAAAGTATAGAGTATGCAGTGATAAAGAACATCCTAACCCCAGGCCCAGCACTCATCTGAACACAACATGGGACGGGCCCCAGGCGCAGACCGGCCTTGAAGAAGCTCCGTTTCAATTCAGGAGGCCTGGTTGGGAAGATATAACAGCAGGGCCTGAAACCATCTATATCCCACAGTTCCAGTCTAGATAAACACGTTCTCTGCCTACTCGTGGGACTACCGTGAAGCTCAAGGGAG